ACCCGCCTGGGCAACTTGGCGAGACCTCATCTCTACAATAAATCAAAAAATTAGCCGGGCGTGGTCGCGCACGCCTATAATTCCAGCTACTTGGAAGGCTGAGGCAGAAGGATCGCCGGAGCCCAGCAGGTCGAGGCTGCCGTGGCCGGGAGTAGCCACAGAACTCCAGTCTGGGTGACAGAGTAAGACTCCAACTCAAAAAAAACCCCCGAAAAACCTCTGCCTTCCTTTCCCCTGTTAGAGGCCAAACATTCCCACCCCTGGCTCCCATCCAGGCCCAGCTTTCACCTTTATGGCCTGGAAGATCCACTCCCGGAAATCACCGACTTTGGTATAGACACCTGGCTTCTGGGCCAGGGCACAGCCAGTGCCCCAGCTCACAATGCCGCACAGCCGCCAACGTGGCGTCCGAGAGATGCTGTCCTCACACACAAAGGGACCACCGCTGTCGCCCTGGGAGGGGACAGGGAGGCCTGGCTGGAGGCCAAGGTGGCCGTCCAGGAGGCCCTCCCGGACGGCCACGGGCTGTGGCCCCAGAATCCCCTGGCTCCGAGACAGCGAGCCCAACCACCCGCTGCTCTGCATCCCCATTCCTGGGTGGAAGGGCCGGGGGCTGCTCCCACACAGTCCCTCACCTGGCAGGCATCAATGCCACCCTCAAGGTAGCCAGCACAGAACATCTTGGGCTTGATCTGGTTCCCGTAGAAGTCAGGGCCATTGCAGACATCATTGCTGATTATGGGGACTCGGGCCTCCTGGAGTACCCCGGCCTGCTGGCCTGGGGGCATGCGGGCAAGACTGGCCGGAGCTGGGAGCATGCACACCCCCTTCCCTCCTGGTGCCCACCCCAGGCCGCTTGGCCGCCCTCTGCCCCAAGGCCAAGAGTCATTCTAACAGCCAGACTGCCCTTCCCCAGCCCAGTTCAGGGCCCCCTGGTGGTGGCATCACAGGCAGGGGACAGGACTCACCATAGTACTGCGTGTTGCCCCAGCCTGTCACCGTACAGAGCTTGCCATCCACCAGGGCCTGGCCAGCAGCCGGGAGGCACACGGGCTGGATGTATTCTGTGAGAGAGACCACGCTGGTCCAGCCCCTACTAGCCTGCCCTGCCTGGTACAAACCTCTGTCTGGCTGCCTCCACGTGGTCTGAGCACACCCTGTCCTCTGTTCTTTTATAACAGACACAGCAGAAGTTGCCATCTCCAGAGAGCTCACTATGTACTAGGCACAGCGTTTCCTTTAATTTTCCATCAGCCCAAGGAGGCAAGGTCTCCTATTACCCCATTTTACAGAGGGGAGAGATGAGGCCAAGTCCCCTGTTCGAAGTCTCATCCAAGTCAAGGGCAGAGCCAGAATTTTAACCCAGGTTGGCCAAATTCCCGAGCCTGTGTTCTGATACCCCCAGCCTAGAAGGTACTATTGTGAGAAATAGAAAAAGACACCCTCATCTTGAGACACTTGACTTCCACCATCAGAAGAGTCATCATCATAAATACACAGGTCCACACTGAGAATGGCACCCTGAAAGTTGAGTAGCATGCCGGGCAAATAGGAAGTGCACACTATGCGTGCATTTCTCCTTATATCAACTCTTTTCATTGTCTCAACAACCCTAAGAAGTCATTTTTCAGATGAGGGAAACTGAGGCAGAGCAAAGTGAAGCCACGGGTCGAAGATCACACACTTGGTAAGTAAATCTGACCCTAAAGTCCATACGCTACCCCCTCAGGCATGTGTCTGTGTCCCATCCACCACGTCCCCAAGGACATGTCCCTACTTCAGTATCTTCAACTCTCTCACTCTTTTCACTAAGGAGAAGGGTTTTGAAAGAAAAACATCGATCACTCCCTTAAGTGGGAAACCCGTATCACAGATCATGAAAAGGAAAACAGCCATAAAAATAATTACAATGCCAGGCCTGAATAGTCCTGAATTTTATGTCCTCATGGCCTGGGTGTCACAGGCACGGGTCTCAGTGTTGGTCAGCTTGGGTTTGAGCCTTGGCCACTCGCCAGTTGTGGGATTTGGGGCATGATTTATCTTGTTTGCGTTGGGACGTTTCCCCTGTGGGTAAACAGGATCTTAAGAGAGCCTCCCACCAGGGTGTGGCTGGACTGCTGTGAGAACGAAACCAGTTCAAACGTGGGACACACTTAGAACAGTGCCAGGCATGCAGGGGGCCGTGCTCGTTATCTTCATTAGCACCACGATAATTATCATGGATCAGGTGCTTTTATCACCATCACCATTATTACTTCCTTGTCATCCTCACCACCACCATTATTTTATTATTGTTATTATTACTATTATACAATAGTCTGCTCAAATCTAGAGTCTGAAGACTGTTCTTGATCCAAAATGCAGGTCAGTGTCCTTTTCAGCGAGACCAAAGACTTGCTCCAGAGAACTGCAGAGGGAAATTCTCCTCCCTTACTTTCTGATTCATTCTCTTTTATTTTATTTTTTGAGTCAGGGTCTCACTTTGTTGCCCAGGCTGGAGTGCAGGGGCACGGTCCCAACGATCATGGCTCATAGCAGCCTTGACCTTCTGGGCTCCGGAGATCCTTCCACTTCAGCATCTCAAGTAGCTGGGACTACAGGTGCGAGCCACCACCCTGGCTAATTTTTATTTTTTGTACAAACAAGGTTTCGCTGTGTTACCTGGGCTAGTCTCAGACTCCTGGGCTCAAGCAGTCTGCCTCCCTTGGCCTCCCTAAGTGCTGGGATTATAGGCACGAGCCATCACACCCGGCCCTTTATTCGTTTTGAAAAACATTTTTTTCCTTTTCATTTCACTTATTTTTTTGGCAACAGCTCTATTGAATATAAAGTATACGAGTATATTACATTATGTTACCTTATAATTATATATTATATTATATTATAATTGAATATAATGCCTCAAGTATACAAGTCAATGCCTTTTAGTGTATTCACAGGGACATGCAACCAAAACCGCATCCACTTAAAGCATTTCATCACTCCAAAAAGAAACTTTGTATCCTTTACCCACCACCTCCTAACCCCCATGCCACCCTCATCTCCACCTCCCCCTCTGCCAACCATTCATCTGTGTTCTATCTCTGCAGTTTGGCCTATTCTGGACATTTCATATTAGTGGAATCATACAATATGTGGCTTATTTCATGTAGCATGATGTTTTCCAGGTTCATCCATGTTATCACATGTATCGGTACCCTACTCTTTTTTCAGGGCTGAATAATATTCTACTATATGGATATACCACATTTTCTTTATCCACGTGTCAGATGATACCCATTTGGATTGTTTTCTTCTTCTGGCTATTATAAGTAATGCTGCTGTGGACCTTCATGTACAAGTTTTCATGTGGATGTATGTTTTCATTTCTCTTGAATATATATCCTCGTAGTGGAATTGTTGGATCAAACGGTAACTTTATTGTTTAACTTTCTGAGGACATTCCTGTGTCCCAAAGTGGCTGCCCCAATGATTCACAGTTAATGTCTAGCTTGCGTCCCCTCAAGTTCATTCCCTATCACCGTGGGTACCTGTATCGTAAGATGACTCTCCTAGGCCCCGGGGCCCTTCCGCTGTCCTCTGGGCCTCCCGTCCCCAAGTCAAGGCTCAGCCCCCAGACTTACCCGTGAGGGGCAGGGGGCTGGAGAGATGGACCAGGGCGATATCGTTGCTGTTCTCCTCGCTGTTGGGGTCCCGAAAGGGAAGATAGCCCCCGTGGGAGATCACAGCCTGCACCCCCAGCTGCAGGCCGTGGGGTGAGGCCTGGGCCACGGCACCAGCAAACACTCGCCATCGGGACAGGACCCGGTTCCGCCTGCCAGGGAACAGAAGGGAAGGGTGGCGGGCTGCCCGGGCCCAGCCTGTTCCACCTCTCTGCGGCCTTGCCCCCGCCCCGCCAGCGCTGTGGGGGACCCTCACTCAGGAAAGCAGTGTGCAGCGGTCAACACCCAGTCTCCCGAGAGCAGGGAACCCCCGCAGAGGTGCGCTCCATCGTAGCGAAGACTGACTTGCCACGGCCACCTGCCCAGGCTGGTGTCCCGGCCTCCCACGATGCGGTCCACGGGCAGCTTCCTGCGGCCACAGTCTAGGGGTGAGGGGACGGTCAGCAGGGGCGGAAGGGGACAGGAGTCCAGGCCCCCAGAGCCCCGGCTTGACCCTGTCCTAGGGGATCTGAGAAGACATGGACCCACCCCAGAGAGTCTGAGGGGACATGGTCCCCCTGCAGGGGTGTAAGGGAGAGGGTTCTGAGTTTCAGGGTCTCACCTTGGCAGATGGTGGCCAAGAAGCGGCCCCTGGGACAGTCACTGCGGGAGAGAAGGGATGGAGACACAGAGAGAAGCAAGACCAGTTAAGACAGATGGAAGGAACATGAGGGTGGGTGCGGGCTGCCTTGGGAGCTGTGACGGTCCAGGTGTTGTCCCCTCCTGCCCACGGCCCTCCTCACCACACGGAGATGACCTCCAGCAGCCTCCGGGCATGGGGCAGCTTCCCCTCGTCCACGCAGAAGAAGCCCGACGTGCTGTTGGCGCCCACCATCCTCACGTCCAGCTCGGAGTGGGCCAGTGCCCTGAGCAGGGCAGGAGTCAGGCCTGCTCCCCTGCCCCTCCTGGCTCCCACCCCTCCGAGGGGCCCCCGGTACCTGAGGAAGCCCATCTCCTCACAGCTCAGCCCGGCCACCCTGGAGTTGGAGCGTGAGGAGCACAGTAACCGCCATGTCCCTTCTGTCTTGTCGAAGACGGTGAGCCTTGCGTCCACCGGGCTGACCTGCACTGCAGGGTGACAGGACCGGGGGCCGCCTGGGTCCCATCGCCAGGCTCCCGACTCACCTCCCCAGCCCGAGTCCCATCCCGTGCCCTCCCCCCGCCTGTGTGATGTCCATGCGGCTCTTGCTGTGAATCCCAGGAGGGCCCAATGGGGTTCTCCATCCCCCAATCTGTGACAGCACCTGGAATCACGACTCAGCGACTCAAGTCGGACCCAGGGGCAGCGCCCTGGGGCTGTGGCTGGCCCCTCCGGGAACCAGGGGAACTTGGCTTTCCCCCTCGATTCCTAAGCCGTTTGCTCATGAGCTGAGAGTCTGGAACTTGACTTGGATATTTGGGAAGGGGAAAACAGTTTCAACCAAGTTCCCAGTGGAAGAGCCTGTGAGGCTGAATCTGTTGAGGGCCATCTTTGCCCCCATGAGGGAAAAAATATGCTAACATGGAGGAAAGCCAAGAGATTTCCAATAACATTTTTTTTTTTTTTTTGAGTTGGAGTCTCACTCTGTCGCCCAGACTGGGGTGCAATGGCCGCTCCCGGCCACCGCAGCCTCACCTGCTGGGCTCCGGCGATCCTTCCGCCTCAGCCTTCCAAGTAGCTGGAACTACAGGCGTTTGCTACCACGCCCGGCTGAAATTTTGATTTATTGTAGAGATGAGGTCTTGCCAAGTGGCCCAGGCGGGTCTCGAACCCGTGGGCACGGCAATCCACTCACCTCAACCTCCCAAGACGCGGGATTACAGGCTGAGCCACTGAGCCTGGCTTCCAATAACATTTTTAAAGCCCCCTGCTGCGGCCAGCCTCAGCTGAAGAGCCCCTGGTTTGTTGACTGAGTTAACAACGTTCCCCTTTTGTTCAGCCAGTTTGTTCCTTTTTCCCTTTTATCTTTGGCAGCCTAGAGACCCTTGACTAATATATACACCAGATTGCCAAAATGTTTAAATGCATATCCTACTGTATGAAAGAAAGAGAAAGAGAGAAAGAAAGAAAGAAAGGAATAACTGTCTTTTCTGCAGAACTTGTCAGAACCTTGAACATGCCGAAGGGTATAATTTTTCCAAGCAGAGAATGGAATATTCATTCATTCACTCGGCATGCATTAACTGGACACTCCTCCATACCCAGGGTGGGGTGAGGCCGAAGACACAAATATGGTGGAGATAACCCTGGGCTCTCATCAAGCCAAAGCCTGGGGGGCGAGGAAACAGCCATAAAAATGCCACCCAACCCAACACATTGTTACAAACTGTGACATGATACCTGGGAAGGCTAGAGAGAACACGGGGGGAGTTGGGGGCCAGTTTGTCCACCGAAGCCCCCTAGTCTGTTCCCCACACGCAGGCAGAAAGACTCTTGTTACCCCGGAGGCAGGACACAGCCCTTGGGGCATTTATTTATATTGACCAAACACTTTGTACCTGCCAGGCTCTATTTTAGGCGATGGGCAAATCAGACCAAAGCCCTTGTCCCTGTGGAGCTCAAAGCCTGGTAGGTGAGACAGATGATGAATGGGACAGATAAGTAAGACGTCTCATGTGTCACACAAGTTGTGAAGGGGTCATGGTGGCCAGTAAGACGCCACAGAGGGAGGGGAATGCTGGTGTGAGGGGGTGGGGCAAAGCGGTGTTTTTCACTAGGTGGTCAGGGAAAGTTTCCCCCAGAAGGTGGTGTGTGAACTAAGATCTGAGGGAAGCAAGAACCAGTCCTGCAGAAATGTGAGGGATCAGCAAAGCAGGCCACGGAATCGAGAGGGGGAAGATTCCAAGCCTGGGGGCACACGTGTGGTGTCTGAGGAAACGCAAGGAGGCCAGAGCAGAGTGAGTGAGGGGGAGACTGAGTGGGAGAGAAAATAGCTCAGCATTAGGACTTTCACCTGGAGCCAGGTGCCACCATGGCAGGGCTGTGAGCCGGCAGGGCCCTGACCCTAACCCAGGTGGTCTCAGGAGCCCTCTGGCCTCAGATGAGAACAGACTGTGGGTGCAGGGATGGGAACAGGGGTACCCAGGAGGAGGCTACTGGGACGTCCAGGCGGGAGGGTATAGAGGCTGGGCCAGGGGAGCAGCAGCGGTGGGGAAGAGCTTAGATTCTGGAGAGGTTCTTGTAGATGGAGCCGACGGGGTTTGCTGAAAGATTTGGGTCACCTGTGAACGTCAGGGAACGCAAGGGTCACCCCGAGCCTAGACTGATGGAGCTGACCCTAGCAAAAACAGGCAAGGAGAGAGGGGGCAGGACTGGGGAAAGATCAGCTGTGAACCTCTCTGTCCTTTTCTCACGAGCCTCCTGCATGACCTAGGCTCTAAGAGCATATTCTGGGAAACTGAGTCTGGCGAAGACTTGCTCATGCATCATCTCAGAAGGGACCTGCTGAGGCCACACCCAAGCTGAGTGGTCTCCCCATAGCCTGGCAGGTCTGGACAAGGAGAGGCAGGACTTCCGAGAAGGATCCTGCCCCCGTGAGGACCTACCATGTGCCTGGCACTAGGCTACACGCTCTCCCTGCCTGGCCACCAACCAAGGCTTCACTACACTCTCCAGGGGCCAGAGATCACCCCCACTTTCCAGAAGTCTAGAGTGGCCAGGTGACTTGGCCAATATCACCAAATGAGTGAGAGACAGAGGGAGAGGATTTGAAATCAGGCCTCAGTGACCCCAAACCCCAAGCTTGTAACATTCCTCTAGACAGCCTCTCAAGTGATTTCCCCTCCTGAGGGCTAAACACCAGCCCAGCGACAATAACACTGGTTACAGCCGGGCTCGGTGGCTCAGCCTGTAATCCCGCGCCTTTGGGAGGCTGAGG